TCTTCTCATAAAAACTCAACACGTGGTAATCTCATTAACTTAATGTATGAGGACGTCTGTCAGCAGCTGTTTGTGACTGCAGCTGCTCAGCTGTCTGGTTTTTCTTCCACTAGGAGGAGCAGCAAAGGCTGGCAGCAAAAGAGAAAGCTGCTAAAGAGCTGGAAGCTGCTAAGCAGAGGGACGCTGCTGCTCAAGAGGCTGCTAAAACACAGGTACAGCAAAACCTTCAGTTCATCGAGACATCTTAACATAGGTACAAACTGGGGAGCAAACCCAAACTACAGAAACATTTCCTGTGTTTCTATGCGTTCTGTTATTTGAGATCATATAGTCAACAAAAATATTTCAAATGAAACCGCTTTTAAGGGTGTTTTTTTTTTTTTTTGTGTTGTTGTTGTTGTTGTTTTTTCCCTAAACCTTATTAAATTTCCTTCTCCCTCTCCCCATGCAATACAGACTGCTGCTAACCTAAATGTGACTGTGGATATTGAGGTAATAACAATAGATATTATACTTTTTACATTAGATTATATTCATTATACCATGTCTCTTCATCTGAAGCCTTAATAAGCATGTGAAAATGATTACGTGTGTGTCCATGACAAAGGTAATAGATTAGCATTTAATTTAGTTTCTCAGTAGCAAACATTTATAATAAATGTTTCAAAGGGTGTAAATTAACGTGTAATTTCCCAATTTTCTTGAACTGTTCAGCGCTCAGTAATGAGCACACCTGTAGGAAAAGGTGGTGATCTCAACGTGACTGTTGATATTGAGGTATGTGATTGTTTTTATGTATTTTTAACACACGTATATTTATTCTAAACAAAGACTAAATAATTTTTTTCCCTCCTCTTTCTGCAGCACTCCTCGCCACAGTCATATGCCATCACGCCAAAGGGTGGCGATAAACCTTTGATTTTGTCCAAAAATTCAGAAGACTATGGGATGGACCAAAACAGTGATGACTCTACTGATGACGAGTCTGCACCAAGGAAGCCTATTCCATCCTGGGCAGAAGGTATTTAATGATCTCTTAACTCTTCAGTATACCTGAAGTGCTTATGTGTTACATGTTAATCCAGCTCAGTTATAATTGATTGTCTCAAATTGTTACGGTGGATTCATACTAAGCTCAAAATTCACCATGGAGTCCTACTACTGCTACTACACAGCTCCAGTCAAAGAAATATTGTGACCTCCATTAACTCTAACTCTAACTCGAACTCTCCTCTATCTGGGTCACCAAGCCTGAATTTGTGTTTGCATCAAGAAGACGGAGAGAATTTTTTTTTTTTTTTTTTTTTTTTTTCCCCTCCTTCCCCCACCATGTCTGGCGTTTGGGGTTTTCTTTCTTTCCCCCCTAAATTTAGGGAATTGCTGGTGAACGGAAATGGCCCAGCACCATGATGGTTTTTTTAAGACCCTGCTTTGAAAATCTGAGACAAGTTGAGGTGCCCGAGATTCACAGAATTTAGAAAGGCACTATTTTGTGATGTATATCAGGGCTCTAGAGTCGCAAATGCGACCAAATTTTTCAGTGGTGCGACTAAAAAAATAAAATAAAATAAAAAATATTTGGTTGCACCTGTGCGACCAACTGCTCAGGTAGCCAAAAAAAATAAAAAATTCTGCAACCTTCCCTGTGGTCAGCAACAGACACACATTATGCCCCTATCGTGGACTAAACCAATCAGATGGTAAGGGGTGGGACCTCTCTGATTGGCCGTGGTCCAGTTGAAAGTGCAGGTGGAAG